ATCTAGACACAAATTCATGTTCAATGTCACACAGCCATCCTTGTCCCTGCCGCTACTAAGATTTTGTTATAGGGTCAAGCTCGTGTGTCTTATTTGCTCTTCCCTTGAGTTGGAATTGTGTCCAGTTGGTTCCTCATCTCTCATGGGGATGGATTAGGGGTGGCCTATGCTACCACTCTTGCAGATATGGCAAAATTCCTGCTCGGGCTAAAGCTGAGATGCCTCCTCTGCTGCCCTATTATCATGGGTACTAACATGAGCCCTGGGTATTTCTTTTCGCTGAGATATTTTAAATAGGGTAGACTTTCTCATCTTTGACCTATCCATACACCCACCGCCCACCCACTCATTTGTGTGTCCATCCATCCATCCATCCATCCATCCATGCATTCATCGTCCGTCCATCTGTCCATCTGTCTGTCCATTGTGCATCCATTCCATTTGACTAATCCATGTTGTTTAGGGCTCTTTGCAAAGTGACTGACAGAAGCACAGTTTTGCCTGGGTTGGGGAACACGGGCCAAGTGATTTTCTCTAAAGTCTTCTAGGGATTTATTAATCTAGGTGTCTTATTGGGTTGTGTGCAGGTAGGAATGTTTGGCAGCCGTGACGATCTGCCAGAGAATCCCAGGCAGCCTCACAAAGGCTGAGATGATTCTGATGCTCCCTATTGATTTCCCTTTTTCCTTGTTTTTGTTTAGGCCATAGAACAAGCCATTTTCAACAAAAGGACTTGCAAATTCCTGCCTTAGGGCTCCTTCTGCACAGGACAGACCTTTCATCACCAACCCAACTTGTAATCTTGGGAAAGTTCTCAGCTCATTTTCAAGACGAAAAAAAATGCACACAAAACAGCCACATCATGAAGTTGCTCCACATAATGAGGCCTGCTCTGTTGACCTATCATTACCCTGGGCTCCAGGCAGGCCTGGGTTACCCTGACAGCCTCCCATCTTACCCCTGGCCAGTCAAGGTTGAGGTCAGCAGCTGGGCAGCCCAGAGGCCACCATAGTGGCTGTGAGGAGAAGGCTGCTTTTCAGGGCCTGGCCTTGCCTAGAGCTACTTGGCTGAACACAGCTAAGGAGGAGGAGAAGAGCCCTCTGAGGCCTGCCAGCTCAGCTACCCCTGGGACATTCCAAATCCAGGCTTTTGCTCGGACTACACTTACTCTCCCTTTCTCTTGGGGCTCTTTGGCTCCTCTTGGCTCATGTGGGTCTTGCCAGCTTTTCAGAGCCGGAACTCATTCTGCCTCCCAGGCCTATGGTGCCTCCCCATCCCACAGCTATTTGTTCAGCAAAAATTTATTAACCACTTTTTCGGGGCCAGGCCAAAGACAAACAAGACTTGATCCCTGCTCTTGCTCCTCCCACAACAGGGAAGGCAGATATGGAAAGAATGATGAGACAGTGTTCTGAGCACCTAGCGCCATTCTTACTGCTTCAGGACCACAGAAGCTGGTATCAAACGCTGTTATTTCACCACACTCTTAGGGTGAGGCGTTCTGTTTCCCCAGCTGATTGAAAGCACCTAGAGGGAAGAGTCTTCAATGTCTTCTCTCATTTTCTGAGTGCCTTGCATGGTGGTGACTCAATTAATTAAATAGCTGTCCAGCAGCGAGGAACTGTTTCCTCCAATCCAAATTTTACTTGGATTTCTTGGTCTTTGTTTCAATCTAGGAGCATTAGGTTATGAGAAAAACAACAAACCTAACTAACCTCCTGTATTTGTTAGGCTGTTGTGCAAATTGGTGGGGGTCTCTGCTTCATACCATCACCCAGTGTCTTAGTCAACTTGGGCTGCTATAACAAATTACTGTGGGCAACTGGGTGGATTAAACCACAAGCATTTATTTCTCACAGTTCTAGAGACTGGGAAGTCCGAGATCAAGGTACCAGCAGGTGCAGTGTCTGGTAGGAGCTGGCTTCTTGGTTTACAGACAGCGATCTTCCCATTATATCCTCACATGGTGGAGAGTGGGACGGAGCTCTTGTGTCTCTTCTTATAAATGCACCAGTCCCGTTAATGAGGCCTTCACGTCATGATTTAATCACCCACCAAAGTCCCCACCTCCTAATACTGTCACAGCAGCCTTTAGGATTTAATACAGGAATTTTGGGGGAACATAAATATTCAGTTCGTAACACCCGGGATCCCAGGTTCACTGAAGCTTTGCTATCTTAGATAGAGCTATACCATCTAAAACACATGGTTTTCTCAGTCACTCCGATTCTGTGAAAGAGAGCTGGAGGGTTGCCTACTGGCTCTTAAAGGCTTTAGCCCATTATTGACACATCACTTCTGCTCACAGCCCAGTGGCCAGAACCAGTCTCACCGCCCTGACCTAATTGCAAGGCCCCAGAGAAATGTGGGAGATGTTTGAGCAGTAAATGACTCTGCCATGGTTCCCAAGCTAGCTGAAGTGAAAAGGAGGTGCTGGGAGGACACCAAGGCATCTTATGGGTCTTTATCTAGGAAGGGGGTCCATCCAAGCCCCCAAAGGAACCGCGACCAGACATTGGAAAGTTAGGACCCACAGCCACATTCTTAGAGTTCCAGGGTGCCGTGTTTACTTCTCTCTCCTTCAGTCAGCAAGTTGGCTTTTTCTTTTTTCTTTTTGGGTAGACTGGTTTTCTTTGCTTTCCAAATACAATGGGAATAAGAACAGTCCCTGTCCGAAGGAGTCGTGAGGATATAATGAGTTTATCCATGTAAAGTGTTTAGGAAGTGCCTGGTGCATGGGAAGTGCTAGATAAGAGTTAGCTATTGCTATTATTTTATGTAATAATAATAATATTTTTAATTATTCTCATTGTATATGCCATAACATGGCCCCCTAGGCTTAGCCTCTAAGACTCCCCCCAGAAGGAACGGACTAAAGGGACCAGTTCTTTTGGGAGCTGGGTGCCTAGCTGAGGCAGGGTTCTCCCTGGGTTTGGGGAGAGGGAACAGGCCAGGAAAACATCCCAGAGGGACTCTGTTATAGTCTTTATCTTTAAGGCAGTTCCAGTGCTAACAGCCTCCTCAAGAGAAACCTGTTGCAGAGCAAACTACTCAGAGCCACTCCTAAGAAAGGCCGTTTCGCCTCATCCAGACACAGGCCATGGCAGAGTCTGAGAAACACAGTTTTCACCAGGAAACAAATCAAGAACACAACCATGTGTGCAAATCAGGCAGCAAGTACAGGCTGTGCATGGTCCTGGCAGAACAGAGTCCCAGGAGAGGAGTGGCCTCCATGATCTGCCGCTGCGCCCCACTGCTTTACCTGGGGCTTTTCTTTCATTTGGTTCCTACTTCATTCATCCAAAGAGGCTGCTGTGGGCTCTGCATCTGCTCTGAGGTGTTTGACCAGGATGACCTGGTTTCCAAACAAAATTGGTCAGAGAGACCCTCATCTCTTAGGGGCCCACTTCCCTCTGAGGGCTTAAAACCAAATGCTCCTGCCTTAGGAGCAAGTGACCACCTCCTCATGAGAACATGCCTCTCACAAAGGACCTCCCTCATCCTCTCCAGAGAAGTGGAAACGAGAAATGCCTGGTGCAGAGCCAGGATTGCTACGTCATGGATGTGAAATGCTCAGGATGCCCCAAGGCTGCATGGTCTGGGAGTTTCGCGTTGTTGACTGCCCAGCTTGTCATCTGCTACTCAACAGGAGGACAAGTGAGGCTTAGAGAAAGATGCTCCTCAGACAGAGCAGCACCACAAGCTCCCTGAATCAAGATGCGTGGGAGACCGTCCCAATAAACACCTTTCAGATGAAACGAAACCCCAAACGAAAACCCCAAATCAAACTCTAAACGCCTCTCGAGCCGGATAGCACTTCCGGTTTATGAGGCATTTTCATTATTTTATTTCAATCCTCACATGAACCCTAAGAGATGGGATTCTTATCCTCATCTTAGAGGTGAGGAACCTGATGCTCAGAGAGACCAGAAAACCTGCCCCAAGTCATGGGGCTCACAGGCCAGGCAGACCCAGGATTCCGCACTGATCCTGCGGTCTCTGAAGCCTGCACCAAGTAGACTTGAGTTCGGGTTTCTCAGGTATTTGTGACCTGGCGGGATGGAATTGACTACGCAAACTAGGATGCGTCTTCTTATCACAAACGTCAACTTCTCTCTTCCTTCTGTGCTCATCCTTTGGTTTGTCTGACATACAGAATATTTTCACGGTGCCAGCCATGTGACCTCTATTTACAGAAGACCCAGGTGGGACAATCTAGTTGAATGATGTCCAAATGACAGGACAAATTAGATTATCAAGGGGAAGGGCTGACATGGTTTTAAGGGGGAAATTGTGTCATGAATCTTTTTTTATAAGCACTTTGTGGGTGGGAGTAATGAAATTGGGAGGGAGGTAATTTGTCAAGCAAGGATCAGAAAACACAAAACTGGTTCTCCTTAGAAGAGGAAAAAAGAGAAACATCTTTTTTTTTTTTTTTTGAGACTGGGTGTCATTCTGTCACCCAGGCTGGAGTGCAGTGGTGTGATGATGGCTTACTGCAGCCTCAACCTCCCAGGCTCAAGTGATCTTCCCACCTCAGCCTCCCGAGGAGCTGGGACCACAGGCATGTGCCAGCATGCCCAGCTAATTTTTAAAATATTTTTGTAGAGATGGGATCTCCCAGTGTTGCTTAGGCTGGTCTTGAACTCCTGGGCTCAAGTGTTCCTCACGCCTCAGCCTCCCAAATTGTTGGGATTACAGGCATGAGCCACTGTACCCGAAAAGAACCATCTTAAAGAGAAAAAGGAGCTGTTTTTATTTTTTGTTTTTTAGAAGGCCACGTTCACTTTTTCAGAGGCACTTGATCTTTTTAGTGCTTTTAGGATTTTTAAAAACTGTTACACAACAGCTTCTTCCTAAAGGCTGAATCACAGGCACTTTAGAAAACTTCTTAGTAGGGGAGGCTCCGCTGAAATGTACTCGATACCTACACTCAACAGGAGGGATATATTTCGATTTTGAGTTTGACAGGCTCACACTGATCTCATTTAAGTCCTTACCCGGCTGGAGCTCAGGAATTCCAACGCTCTTTCCACAGGAACTTCCTCACGTCTTGTGCTGAACAGTGGGGCATGACCCAGGCCCTGCTTCTGCAAGGAAAGAGAAGTGGCTCCTGAGAAGTGTAGTGGCCTCTTGGGGATATACATTGTTTTCCTAAAGGCCCACAGTACAGGGCAAGAGTTCTCTTGGCAAACCGAATTAGAAATTAAAAAAAAAAATCTGATTTGTTCACATTATCGAATAATGGCCCAGAGGCTGTGGAGTAGATGTCCAATTTCAAAGGCCTTGCTTTTCCTCTGAGCCAGAGGCCTTTCATCACAGCTAGGAAATTACCTCCCTAACGTGCATGCTGCGCCTGCCTCCGTAATCCAGAGGTCAGAAAGGCAGAGCACGTCCATAAGATGCAGGCAAAACCACAAATGGAAAACTGGGTGTCTCTGCAGAAACAAGACCAAGGAGCACCAAGGCACTGCCATTCCAACCCAACACAGCCTTCAGTGAGTGCTCTCAGGAGGCCTGACAGCAGACTATATGCCCCAGGCAAGAATGTCACCCGAGGTGCCCATGTCTCCTTCCCTTGTGTTGTGTCCCAGGTCTGGGTCCTCTGCTTGGGTAATGCTCCAAGCTGCAAATGCCCCCAGCGAATTGTACCTCCTCAACCCATCAGAGACGCTCTGTCTAAGGACCTTCCTACCAGTGGGGGTTAGGAGGAAAGCATGGGAATGAAAGAATTCAAACCAAGGGGTGCATGATGGTAGCCTCTCAGGGATACTTGTAGTTGAAAAGAGAAGCCCCTGTTGCAGGGAAACACCAATGTACAGATAGACTTCAGATGCTGTGGGGCACGGCGCCAGACCAGCTGTGTGGAGCTGCATTCCAGCCAAGTGACTGAATATCTGCTTTCATGCGGTTTTGTGGAGCTGCTACAATCTTCCACCTCTGCAGAGTATACCCGCTTCTTCCAGTCGCCACAAAAGGTCATGCAAAAAGGGATTCTTCAGTTCTGGTGCTCCATATTTAATATCAAATCTTTGTACTTGAGCCTGCAATGTACAGACATGCATATTCTACCAGCCTTGAAAATGGCTGCTCAAGCACTGAAGCCCTGAAGGAAACTTTTCAGTTAAATATTCTCTCTTTGCCAACTGCCAAATAGACAATTTTATTATTCAACCCATGAATCCATTAACTAAACCCTGGCCTTTCCCAGTAGCCCTTGTCATCTGTTCTTTTTTTGTGTGTGACACCCTGGATCTGAGCATCCGCCTTGTTGCAGAGGCCCTTGGATTCCCCAGCAGCCCCAGGCTCTGTAGGAGGCACCCCTAGGAGGTAAGGCCAAGGCCAAGTCAATCAGGCTGCTTCCCCAGCTTTGCTATTTGATTTCTGTTGGGGCTGCACATGTTCCTTTCTAGGCCATTTTTAGGGCTGAATTTCATATGGGCCATAACATCTTTTGTAAAACGAAATGGATCAACTAGCTTTGTCGAGACTCGCTCTGTTTCTGCCGTCCCGATGATGAAAGACTTAATTAGCGCTGGAATAAAGGAATGGTCAGTCTCATGAAATTAGCAGCAGTATTTATTAATATAAATACATTGCACTTGAAAAATCCAACTTTAATGTCCTCTCTGAGTAAATATACTTATTTTTCTTCAAGTTTCAATCAGGGAGCCTTCATGTACAGCCATGATGTCATGAGACCAATTACGTAAAGTAATCTTGACAGGCTCATTATTTTCTTGCCATATTCTGGCCTGTATAAGGAGCAAACTTGCTTTAGGATGTTCAGAGAGATTGTTCTCTTTCATTTCCAGGTCAAACCCCAGCAACCATGACCTAATGCTTCAGCTAATACATTCTTATATTCTGAAACGCCTCTGTGATCACACCCACTATCTTTGGAGTGTGAATTTATTCACACACTCTGATTGTTCCTTCAGGGAAGCAGCCAGCAGCCCCAAAGTACATACACTGAAGCCTTTGAAAAAGAGGGAAGACTCCAAGTCTCTGGCACCTGTGGAAGAGGGCAATCTTGAGAAGTCGCTGACATTCCTTCGAGTTTACATGTCTCCTTGGTGAGATTTCTTACAGCAGAACATGACGTTCTTCCCACCCCTAGGATCCAAACCACTTTAAAAGAGTGTTATACTTTGCTCTGAGTGGCCAAATACCACAAGTACCACTTGATTTTAAAATTATGTAGCCTTGGTATTCCAAAGCCAACGTGCACCACCATGCAAGAACAGATGTGGTCTCTGAAGGCAAAAGCCCCAGGCAGTGCTTAGCTCTCAAAAAAGAGTTGTCATGTCATTCTCAACTTGAGATGTTTGCTTGGCAAGCATTTTTTACCCTCTGGAGGAAATTTTGTTTACAGGATTTCTCTCACACACACACACACACTCACACACACACACTCATTGTTCAGCTGCAGAACAAAGGTCAGCTCTTGGCACACAGTAGTTTTCCAATTCCTGATCCTTTTTGATTCTCAATGTGCCCATCAGCAGACATGTAATTTTATCTTAAGGCAGCCAAGTGCAAAGCATGAGACAATAGGGAGAAATCTTGTAAATAACTATCAAACAGAAAGAATCTGTTCAACCGATGAGGGAAAGCCTCCTTTGCTCAGTTTTAATGGTGTTTATATAACTTTCAGTATGCATATTCAGTCAGTAACATTATTTTAAGGCAGTTGATATAGGTGCCAAAATCCTCAGTATGCTGGGAGATAGATTATCTTTTGCATGTGTGGGGTTTTGGAGACAAAAGTTGCACTGAAGTGTGTGGCTCTTGTAAATTATATGAGGAACCAAGTCAATTTCCTGTTTGAGATAATGGAGCAGTGGATTTTCATGTCCAACCCCTTTAAATGATAGGTTTAATTCAATTGAGACCCAGAAGTGATTAGCCCAAGTTTACACAGGTACTTAATAGCCGAGCAGGTCTAGAACTTCCTTTCCACAGACAAATTCTACCTAGAGTTTGCAATTACTCCCATGATAAGCTGGAACATTGGAATTCCTTTCCATTACCTGTAGTACTTTTGCCATAGCAAGTCTTAGAACAAAAGTAAAGAAAAGGCAATAGGTTTTCATGGCTGAGTGCAGGGGCTCATACTTGTAATCCCAGCACTTTGGGAGGCCAAGGTGGGAGGATTGCTTGAGGCTAGGAGTTTGAGACCAGCCTCGGCAACATGGTGAAACCCCGTCCCTACCAAAAAAAAAATTAGTTGGGCATGGTGGCACGCACCAGTAGTTCCACCTACTCAGGTGGTTAAGGCAGGAAGATCTCTTGACCCCAGGAGGTTGAGGCTTCAGTGAGCTATGATTGTGCCACTGCATTCCAGCCTGAGTGACAGAGCAAGGTCCTATCTCAAAAAAAAAAAAAAAGAAAAAAAAAAAAGAAGAAAAAAAGCAAAAGGAACCTTATGATATAATCCTGACCAGAAATTGGACTTAAGTATTTTTAAAAGCCATTTATGTCACTGGTTGTAAAAAAAAAAAATGATAAAAGTGGACATTTTATTTCTTTATAAGATTAAAAAGCTATGTACCATATATTAAATATAAGTCGACATTTGATTATTCCTAAGATGTAATTCCAGAAACAAGTTGTCCAGGCAGGAAAGGCTGGCTTAGAATTTGTGGAATATCTCTTATAATTGTGATCACTGGAAGCAAATTGAAATGCAACAAATAAGCCACTATTCCTGTTGCTCCCCTTGTCTGTTTCTCCCAGCTTTATTCACTTAGAAATTTAATTGTGCCTGATCTGACAGGCACAGGAAGGAGCCAGGTGGAGGGAGGGTGGAAGCCTCCAGGGTTGGTCTTTCAGAAACAATGGCAATGCTGTCTCCTGAAAACCACTTTCAAACGGCTTTCAAAGCCCGAGTTTGTTTAGAGAAAATCTTGCCCGCATTGATGGATTTCTCCTCCTCTGACAGTTCACAGGAAAGAGTGTAGTATAAAGAATTAAGTGGTTCATTCCAAACATCTGATGGGTTCCCTTCAAGTACTCCCCCTCTGATCCACTTCTTACGGCTGTGCTGAGCCTCCCCATCTGTGATGAGGTCATTTTGTCGGGCACACAAAGGATTCTGGGGGGAATATGCATCATATACTGCAGCTATTCACAGCATTCATTCCTCCTGGCTGCTCACGGGAACAATGAACCTTCTCAGCATTACATGTGCTTACTAAGGAGACAGGGGTTAGATGCCTTTCAGTGGAACCCCCTGAGGCACACAATGCATTTATTATAATGTCCTGGCCCTAAGAAGGGCCTGGGAACAGCTTGGAGTGGTCTATAATTAAGTACATTTAATAATAAATGCACACACTTCTTAGGTATTGCAAGAAGTGAAAATAAGCTCTTCATCTTCTCAGTCTCAATTCCCCTTCCCCATCATCCTTCCCCTTCAGAAATCAGAAAAGCCAGGAGTTCTGTGCTTTTTTAAAAATAACAATTGCAGAGGATGTCTGGCTGGTTGAGAAAGGTAAATTAAATTACTTGAGAACATTCTTTCCATGTCAAAAAAAATGGCTTCTGCTTCCTCAGGTAGTTATGCATGGGGAGGATTTGTTAAAAGGTTGGCTGTTCCTTTAATCTCCCTTGGATTCCACTTCCAAAGGCTTTCAGGGGCAGTGACCCGCTAGCTAAGGGGCATTCCTTGGGGTTAAGCTGCCACTTGGAAGGGCACTTCCTCAGATCGCTGCCGTGCCTAGCAAGGAAGGAGCAGTTAGAAGTGTTCCCCTGACAGTGTCCCACGTCCTCGGTCCCCACACCTCTGAGTGCTCGAATATGGGCAGATAGACTTTCTGAGGAAAGTGAGAGGAAGAGAGCTCTGTGAATGTGGACAGGGTACAAGAAGAGAAGCCACACCGGAAGGAAGAGAAAAAGGCAGCAGGACTGTGACACGTACATTTGTGAGACGCAGCAAGAGGCGTGGGATTATGAGGGACGCACATGCGTTAAGGGGCCTGGAGGCTGGAGGCCCAGCTTTGCCCCTGCCTGGCTGTGAGCGTGGCCTATTTTCTTGAACTTCTCTAAGCCTCAGTTTCTTTACTTGTAAAATGAGGATGTTAATGGTACCATGAATAGTTAGTGAAAGGTCTAGTAACAGGAATCTTGGGAAAGTGACCTAAGTTCTCTGAGCCTCACTTTCTTTATCTATAAAATAAGGTCAAAAATACCTCTGTTACATGCATTGTTGTGAGGATGAATGAAATAATGTATGAAATCACTTAGCATATACCTGGTTCACAGTAAATAATCAGTAAATGCCAGCTGCTGTTGTGATGACTATTGGAATGCAATTACATTTTTAAAGAAACATACTGGATTGAAATTGTTCGCATCATTGAATGGTTCAATATACGGGGCAGGCGTCTGACTAGAGCAACAAGAAAACCATGCAAACTCACCAGGTAGTACTGCGCTGGAAAGCAGATAGCTTTTATTTATTTAATAGTTAATGACAGCGAGAGGGGGTGATGGAACAAATGGGTATTATCTTCTCTTCTCTCCTATAGTTAATTAAAATGAAATTATGGACCTGTACAATTTCAAAATATATGGATGGACAGGATAATATTATAAAGAAGATTAGCTTTTCCAATTTAAGACCAGTTTTTTCAATTCACTGGTGCCCTAAAGTTTCTGATTTTGCTATCAATGGTGAAGAGGAGTTTTTACATTATACGGTTAAAGAGAGAATGACTTCCGCTGAAGCATTTGATTTTAAACAAAGTGATATTGAGCCTATTGATAAAACAAAGGTCAGTCCAAGAGTGTGTGGGAATAAGGTACATTTTGACAGAAAAAAGAATGAGGCTTTAAAAAAAGGTGTTTTCTTTCTTTTTGTTTGTTTGTTACAGCTAAAGAAATCTCCAATCACCATTCACTTCAAATATACCACCTTGATTTTACTTTTTTTACTTTGCTTTAGGTAATTTTTGTATGAATGTTCTCAATAAAGAATTTTCTTATAAACATTTATTATTTTGAGCATTACAGTTTGCACCTCAAAATGGAGTACTGTGAATTTTTTGAGAGATGCTAGAAGAACAGAAGAAACAGTAAACTTTTAAGGCAAGACATCTTTCTCCTCCCACTCTAGCAGCAAGAAGGAAGAGGACATTTGCTCTTTATTATTTAAGAGCCTTTTAAAAGTCACATGGAAAGGCAAGCACTCCAAGGATTTTTTGATTCCTTTTGACTTTGGCCAAGAAAATGAAATTATTGAGAACAGCCAACCTTTCATAAAATATTGCTGTTGGAGGGACTTTTTGGTGGGTTAAATATTATAAAATCATTGTTTTCTGGTCAATGCAGAACAGGGAGAAAATAAAAATAATTATTGGATAGGAGCATTTTGGTGGGTTTTGCATCTTATGTCAGAATGTGACACCAAAGGCTTGGCTTGATGGGGTTGCTTTTCTTATCTTAGGTGACCAGATGATGTGTTAAGGCAAAAACAAAGTATTTTTTCCCCCTCAGGTTTTTGGAAATAGACCAAACACATAGTTCTCAAAACCACCTTCCTCTAACCCCAACCTTTGATAAAGTGCGGGCCAACTAGCTTGGGCTTCTGAACTCATCAGTGGAACATCTTTCCATGTTCAAGCCTCCCTCTGGCTGCTTTTCTGAATTCTCATTACTGAGCAAGTGTAGGAAGACCCAGGAATGCCGGAATCATCCAGTCACTGCATGGGTTCACTTCATCCGTATCTCTTTTTCAGAATACTCCTTACTCCTGTCTTATTTCAAATCCTGCTGTCATCAGGGTGATGAAGAGCACTTCTTAGACACTCGACAACATGGTGGAGGTGAAGATCTGTTGTAAAATCTGAGGGATGTCCTTGGTATCCATGGCAACGAAAGACCGACCAGCTGGTAAAGTTCTCTGCAGCCTGCCAGGATGGAAAGGGTAAGGAAGTTACCCCTGTAAATGGTGCTCCCTTCCACCTCCTGCCCTGGCAAACCACAGCCTCCTAATGGTTTCTTAGGACAGGAAGTTTTTACTTTCTCATATCTTGCTCTCTGCCTACCACTGAATTAGTTGTCATTAAGCAATGAAAGGCTTGGAAGAGCAACAAGGAAAGACACAGCAAAAGCAGGGAACTGAAAGGAAGGTCTTTTCAGTGAGAAAGCTGGCAAATTTGAAGAGAAAAAATTTTCTTCCTTTCTTTACTGCCGTTTCTTGGTATTTCATATTCTCTTGGTAGAACAGAGCCCTAGGGATTCATCTGGGATCATCTCACCTCCTGGGTCTAGTCAATATGCTGACCTCACACTGTATTTCTAATGGTTTTCCTTCCTTAGAAAACAGGCCTCTAAAAACGCTGCCGAGGCAAACCCTGAGTGGTTCTTTCTCTCTTTCTTTGCCTCTCTCTCTTTTTTTTTTGGTCCACATCACACAATGTGAAATGCGATCTGGATTGTCCAATTATTGCTTCAATGACACTGAGGTTATACAGGCTTATGAAATGTTTTCCAACTCATTTTTAAGTAAATTTTAAAAAACTTATAATGGGTTTTGATTTGAATTATCCTTAAAAATAACTTGTCATTGAAGTTACGATAATTTTTTAAATACTAATTTATCATTTGGAACAAAAGGCCATTTTGAAGGCAACGAAACTGTAAGACACAGTTCTCTTCAAAAGAACGCCTCCTTTCACTGTGCCAGGAAGTCTGGCTTTGGAATGACATTTAATAAAATTCAACCATCCTGTAGTATCGTATATTTGGCATGCCTGGTAAGCCGGCTAATTCTGCAACATATCTTTTGCCAGTGGATGTTGGACCATTTCCCTAGGAAACCACAAGGGTATTATTGTGCTTTCTTAAGTATTCAAACAGGATCTGTTCACTAGAAAGACAAAATAGCCATTTCATCTCAACTAGTATTTGTTGAGCTTGTTGTCTGCCTAATAGTGGGCTGATGCTGAGGAAAATCTGGGTGGAAAAGGCATAGTTTGTGTTTGAGGATGTGGAGGTTCTAAAAGATGCAAAGCGCTGACTTGTAAAAACTACGAAGAATGCAAAGTCATGTCATCAAATGACTGTAACGACATGATATTAAGTCTGTTCTCAACCTCACTCTGCAGCCTTGCAGCAAGGCAAAGGGAATAGAAAGAGAAAAAGATGCTAGCACTTTGGATACTAAAACATTTCCA